ATAATGCAACTATCATAGAGTACAGAGAAAAAAAATTATAGTTTAAGAAAATTAACATTTGAAAATCTCAATTTTTTAATAGACATTTAATGATCTTCCAAGGAGAAACAAGACCACGCAAGCAAGGAACAAGAGATGACTTCAGTTCTTCACTGTGAGGGTGGTAAGGCACAGGAACAGGTTGCCCAGGGAAGTTGTGGATGCCCCATCCCTGGAGGTGTTAAAGGCCAGATTGGATTGGGCTCTGAGCAGCCTAGTCTAGGGAAAGGTGCCCCTGCCCATGATGGGAGGGTTGGAACCAAATGGTCTTTAAGTTCCCTTTCAGCCCAAACCATGCTATGATTCTATGAATAAGATGCCAAGGTGCTAGAGATGGGCCAAAAGAGCTCAGCTATCCTGGTGTTCCAGCACTCTCCTCTCGATGTTAGTGATAGTGATAAAAGTGCTTGAACTCACAGGACAAAGAGAAGAGATTTGGACCAAGTCAGTAAGATAACTATAACTTTTTAGAAATGAAGAAAAGCTGTTTCCAAAGGAACCACTGTTGCTGCTTAATATTGTTTATTTATTCTCCTAGAAATTCTTTGAGATGTGATATGGGATTGCCCCATATGGGAAAAATAAGGGTGAAATGGGATGAAATAAGAGAAGAGACAAAAAGTTCCTCAACTTTTCCTTTGTCTCTGCATATTAGAGTGGATTCAGTGGGAAGGAAGCACACTTACCCTTTCAACTGTACAGGACATTAACAGGGGGCTTTCCTAGCTGGTGAAGTAATACACCCTTCAAATGCACATGTTGATGAGCTTTAGTGGCTTTTTTGAACCAGTAATCTACACTACTTCATTCTTTGTAAATGGTATAATGTTTTGCATTTAGAGAGTGCATTTCAGCCAGAGCTTTACAAATACTCATTAAGCCCCGAAACACTGCTCTGGAATAGATGAATAAATTATATGGGGAAAGTAATCATTAGAAACCTTGTTGTTTTGTTGAATGGTGTACAGTTTTCATGTAACCAAGGACTTAAGTGCAGCAAGTCCTTGACACCTATTTTCACTTTCCTATATGAATATTCATTTGGCTTAGGTTAACATTGCATCCCCACATCTTATCAGAACTAAAATTCATCGTCCTCTAATGGAAACTGTGCTGTTTCACTGCTACAGACAACGGCTGGCATCAAATGAAATTGTTCTTTGTTCCAAAACTATGGTTAGAATTCAGTGGTTAATCAGATGCTGATAGCAAACACTCTTGGTTTCCTTCACATCCATGTGACTATACAAAAGACAATTGATGTGGCTAGTGTAAGATTCACTCTCAGCATTCCAGGAACATTAGGCTTTGTTAACATACCAATCTATAGCTTGACATTATATGTTGCCTTGCTTTGAGTTGTGTTTATTTCCCCTAGGGCAAAACAGTTGTGCACTGAACTCTATTATAGACATAGCTTAAATGCATATATCTTACATATATCTATGGATCTTACACTTGGATAATGCTACATTTTGTTCTTAAAATCCCTCTGGAATGTTAAAATTAAAAGAAAGGATGTTTCCAGGGACATATGGTAGGTTATTAAATGGTTCCTTCTAAAAATCCAGCCTGAATCTGATCCACGTTGTTAATCTCCAGATGTTTCTTGTTACATTAGTATCAACTTAAATGAAACAAGTTTAGTCAGGGTGCTCACAGTAAGAAAAAATAACCATAATGGTGTCATTTTTGCTAATTTTCTCAGCGAAGATAATATTTGAATGGCTGGAGTTGTAGGTGCACTTGATCCTGCCATCAGGTTTTACTACATCAGAGCTTAGATGTTCACAGACCTGAAGGTAAAACCTGCAGTATCCTAATTTATCTTGTAACTGCTTTACAAACTGTCTGTACAATACCTACTTATCTTCATCTTGATTCACAAGCCACAAAATAATCTTAGAAAAGTAAATATTCTCAAAACTATTAAAACTGAAAATTGCAAAGCTAATTTCCCATGTACCAAAATAATTATTTTCCAGACTTTATATGACAAAATAAATCATCAATACCACCTGCTGTTTTTTCAGCACTCCAGATGGACATAATTCTGATAAAAAGTGGAACTTGGATTTTATCTGATTTTCCTTAGCAGCAAAAACCCCAAAGGCAGGGTTAAGTGGAATAATGACCTTTGGTTCAGGCATTTCTTGTGAAATCCACCAAAAAGTGGAGAGAATGGCCTGAAGTGCAAATGTTGCCTTGCTATTGATCTCTGGAAATGCCTCAGGCCACTACTGCTACTACTAGACCAAAGCTGCACCCTCCACTTGGGAATTAGCACATTCCCTACAGATTTGCATATAGTGGAAGTAGTTGTGATAGTTTCTCAAAAAAGTCTTTGTTTTCACCACGCCTTTGCCAAACCTGAGCCAGAAATGTGTCATCTAAGGAGTCGTTTATGTATTTAAAAAATGAGTGCTGCTTTTACTCTGTTGCCATGGGACAGCTATAGCAGGAAATGAGCAAAACACCCACATAATTATTGTTGACAGAATACAGTTTCAATTTTATCAAGTGTAGCCCCTGTATGATATGTTGTTAAGGCAGCCTTCAACATCTTGGTGAGTGAAACGCTGATTTGAGAAGTACACAGTGCCCAAAAGAAATGTACAATTGTTATGCTTGAAAAACAGAGCACATTAAAGACATCTCCTTCACTGAGATGGTATGTCAGTAATTATTGCTAAGTCTCTGAGGAACAATTAGAGTTGTTTTTTATTAAATTTTCGTGTTTTGATTGACATTGAAACTGAATGAATCAATATGTAAATCCAGATTACAGCCATCTAATAAGATATTGAGAAAGATTATACTTTACAAAACAATCTGTGGAAAAACTATACAGTGCTGAGAAAAGAACCCCATACATTCATCATTTTGCCAACTGCCTTGCTATTGTTCTTGTTTTTGAATTTAATCTGCTTAGCTACTATTTAAATTAGATTTCAGAGGACTCTGTAATTAAGGAGTGGGATATAATTCATCATTTGTAGAGATCACATTCATTATGTATCTAAATAATAAAAGTTATTTCTAACAGTGTTTTATAACAACCTTAGAGAGTTTTAACCATTAATCAATAACAATGGAGAGATGTCAATGTATAAAATTGAATCAGGCATAATAATGTTCCAGTTTGATAAATATCAGGCTATAACTTGCTGAAATACATAATTGCATGGCTACTTACTTCACTGATTAAAAGGAAATCTATTTCAGGTGGGTTTTATTGTGAACATTAACAAATTTGTATGCATTTAAGAGATATATGGAATAGTTCTACTCCCTCAAGGAAGGAAGCATCAAATAAGAAAAAATAATTTTTGGAAGGTAATACTGCAGTAAATAAGGATAGTTTCTTTTAATTTATATAAAATAATAATTTTTTAGGGTATGAACTGAGTCTGTATTTTTTATCTATTTTGACACGCGTATTTCAAAAAGCAGGAATGAAAATGTGTGGCACAGGTATAAGTGCTATAATTTACTGAACAGTGTTTTGCACCCTGCTGACCTTTTTAGTGCTAAAGTAAGCTGAGGCCCTGAATCTATTTTTGTCTTTTCTGTGGAAGTCCACCTACTCTAGGGGAGTGGTTAAAAAAACCCCCATATTTTCTATAATACCTTGACTCAATCCACTCAGATTCAAGAGCTCTTCTCAAGAACTTGCAGAAAGTTCTTCTTTTCATATCTGTGTTTTAAAACTTACCTATGCTATTCTGCATTATTAGAAATTGCTCTCCAGCTCTCTGTAACAGTGAGCTGTGTCACAAGTACCAACACGTGGCCTTACTGCTGCAGGGTCTGAAGCCATCTCTGTAGACAGCACAGCACCATGCTGGGGAATATGTCTAACCCTTGCTAACCTCCCAGACTGCTCCCAGGACTCCCTGGGGATCTGCACCCACAGAGCTGCCTCAGGTGGGAGCTGCATTACAGGGGCTGGTTGTGTGTGCGTCCAGCACAGCAGGGAGGGTCCTCTGAATTCTCATCCCCATGGCTGGGTCCCATGCTGGGTGCCAAGGCCCTGTGAATCCACCCCCATGCTCAGGATTTGGGGATTGGTGCAGTCAGTCAATGATGCCTCAGCCCTGGGTGAAGCCTTTGGCAATGCTGCCCTGAAGACCCATTTGTAACTCAAAAGTATGAGCCTCACATCTGCACCCCATCCATCTTTTTGAGGAGTAAGAATAAATACTATGCAATCCCCTTACATGTGAGATGGAACTGAGACACAGTGGTCATGCTGATGGTTCATTGCAGGCAGGGGAGATTACTGAGGAAACAAGACAATAAAAAAGGAACAATGGAAATTAATTTCACAGCCCACAAGAGTCCTAAGGCTGCTCCTGTATCAGCAAATAAGGCAGAACAGGGATAGCGACAATTTTGCCTGTCCTGGATTTGCAACTTACAGATTTATTTTTTCTTCTTTTCTGGAAAGAGACAAGCTTTTCTTTCTAGTTTTGTTGTGTGTTATTATTTATTTATTTTCCCTCCTTCAACCAAGCAAAATAAAGTTTTATTTGTATCTCACTCTGTTTTGGGCTAGGGGAAGATGTAATTAGGTGAAGGAACACAAGAGGATATTTATGGAGCCATGCAATACTTGGGGATGGAGGAAAAGATGAGCGATATTGCTCAGATTTTTTTGTTTGTTTTTCATTTTTTGTTTAAAGCATGCTTTCCTGTTACTATAGCTACTGGTTATGTCATGCTCACATACAGATGGTTTATTGCATTGCCTTTGCAAACTGATTGCTGTTGCAAATCATTGAAACCAGGAGTGGAAGGGATACAGGTATGTAGCAGGAGACTGTAAAACCACGGAATGACCTGAGCCCAGCATAGGAAGAGGCAAAAACAGATGTGGGGGATTGTCAAGAAGGCACACTTTCTAGGATCGTAACAGAAAGTAGGAAGAAACCGGAAGGAAGTCGGATACTGAAAAGTGTGATGAGGTATGTACACTTCATGTTACCAGAAAAATCAAGGAGGATGGTTAACTCTCGGTTATCTCCTTCTGGAGCCAAGCAGATTCTCCTGCAAAGGTCTTTGAAAGAGGAACTGGGAGACCACAGCCAGAAGAGATTGTTCTGCCTGGCAAAAGCTTATTTAGGAAGAGGGCTGACACCTTGGTGAGTTAGAAGCATGCTGAGAAAGTAACATCTCTGGAAAGATAGGGCCGAAGATGCTAAAATTGAATTTTGTCTGGAGTCTTGTGTGGGGATTGCTATTAGTATGCCTAGACATGTGTTAAGTGATCTACTAAGCAGCAGCAAGCTATTTATGGGTTTATTAAGAAAAATGAAGTGAAAATCTGCTTTATCAAAGGCTTTGACACATTCAAATTTGAAAACATCCTGTTGAATGTGTTAGTTTGTATTACTATGAAGGGGAATCAGGGGTGAAGTTTTGCGTCTTGCAAAGCAAATGAAGAACAAACTTCAGGAGAAGCCTGGAGAGTGAATTCAGGGGTCTTTAATTTCTTTAGAAAAAATGTCTTAGTGAATATGGTTGGGAATATGTGACATTCTCCTTGCCTTGAATGTGGTATGTAAAATATTCCAAAAAAAGGGGCAAATATGGTAATGGCAGTTGCCAGAGGGGCTGGAAAAAAGGGGTAATAACAGTCATGGACTCAAAGCTGGGGGAAAAAAGCTTTGATGGGAATAAAGAAGTGAGGTATCTCATGTTGGGGAAGGAAATAAAATGCATAATTTGTGAGGAAACATCAGAGAATTGAACAGTTTGATTTAAAATTTTGAAGTTTTTAGTCTCAGAGGTCACTAATGTCTGTCTTTCCATTTGTCCTGTTCCTTAAAAAAGGATCTTCTTCATACTCGGGTGTCCATAGCCATGGGATGACAGTGAGCCTGTTTGTGTTCATAAACATGGAAATGACTTCAAGTGTCTGCTTTAAAACAAACCAAATGTTGATAGCTTCAGGTATATCAATATTGAAGAACTAAGGGCTTCTCAGTGCTGCCAGGCTTACAGTGTCCTTTGACAAAAAATAAGAAAAAGACCCACAAGTTTTCATTTCTGGAAATGATCTTGTAAGTGACTTTGGCACATAATTGTTCTTCTGTATTTCTCCCTTCCACAAGTAACTTGAACATTGTGCAGCAATTTGACTATTGTCACCTCTGTTTAGAATGATAAGACGTGCCATGACAAAATTGTGACTATTTATTTAATTTTTAATTAAATATTAATTAATTAATATATCTTAGTCTGAGTATCCTAGGTGCTGGGTATGTAAATTATTGGGACTTTGAGAAATGCAAAAGAGAGAAAATGAAGAGAAGAAGCGATAGGACTGTGTTAAATATAGTAATCATAAAAGCTTGTGTGACAGGAAATTGTAAATTGACTTAGTAATTAGGAAATGCATTCATTCATTTTTGCTTTTGCATGCATTTTTGTGTATTTCAGGGGACATGCTTAACTCAATTCTATGACTATAATTCTTTAGGACAATTGGATATTCTGGTGAGAGAGGTAATTAGATATATTCAGATATATGCATCTAAAAGATGAAACAGTAGGATATCTTTAAACAGGAAGGAAATTTGTAAGGAAAATAGAATTATTTTGAAGATATCTTCTTGATTCCAGAAAAGGTACTTGCAGCATGAACATACTTTTAAAAACTGACAGTGGTTTGGAAAAGAAAACCTTTTAAGTAAAGATAATTACCTTTTTTTTTACTCCTAGGAGAGTTCAGCATGGTTTGGAAGGAGAAGTTTGGATTTGTTATGCAGCACGAGTGTTGCCTTCTCAATGTCATTTTCCCATCTGTCTTGCTCAGCAGTGTCACTGTCTCGGCTGATGCCTGTGTGCAGTCATCAGTCAGATCACAATGACACAGTGAGCCTGAAAACTATTCTTGTACAATGTCATGCTCCATATCTTCCTCAAAGGAACTGTGGATACAATTTGAACTTGTTTATATTCTTTCCAGTGGCCAGGAAAATGAATAATTCCTTTTTCCGTATTTGGAAATCCCTCAACAATGGATTTACCATTATTTAATCTTTCTTATTTTATCAGCTATATTTATCTTCTGGTGCTCATAGAACTCTACTGCCTGACATTAGTCCCATGGAAATTTAGGGAGACTTCTCAATCTATTGCAAGGGAAACAGGCTCTGAAAGTCTTTTTTTGTCTAACATTTGCCATCACTTTCCCCACAGCATAAATTGTCCTGTGCAAAAAATGCAAAAGATGTTTCATTTAATGTTGTACTTATAAAAAAACCAAACCACAGTCTATTGATGACAGTACCTTTTCTGTTCTGTTCAAGATTTATTTGGCATTGTATTAATATGTATTAATTCTGTCCTGGAAAGTACTTAGGCTGGAACTGAGTGATGTCTTGCAGATGGTGTGCCTAACTTTCGTACCTATCTTGTGACTCTTGCTGCCTTACATTGTGTCTGGCTCTCCTGGCTTCTGTGGATTATGAGTTTCAACTGAAAACATTCCAGGTCTGGAATGAGCATGCACTCCATATTTAGTCATGTCATTAGGAGTACCATTGTGCAAGTTGCTTATCTTTCTTAACTACATCAGGGATTGTCCTTCCTCTCCTTGTAAATAACAGAAATCTTTAAATTCAAATGGTTGCCATGAATTCTTCCCGTGAACTAGTCAGCCACTCCATAATAGTGTTCTTTAGTACATATCATGCGATGACAATTTTAGACATCCACCTATTTCTAAAATTCTTAACATTTTGAATCAGCTTTTGTTTTCATAGAAATCTGGGCTAAAAGGGATCTTATGAGGTCATCTCTTCATAGTTCCTGATCTAAATCAAAATAAGTATACTGAGAATCCCCCTGCCAGAAGCTTTGTCTGGGCCAGCCTTCAGAAACTGGTGATGAAGGAAATGCCATGACATTCCTACTTATGTGGTTTTGCTCCTCATATTTGGGGATATTTCTATTTATTTCTATCTTCAAATTTATCTTGCATAAATCAAGCTGATTTCTACTTGCCCTGACATGGATGAACATGGAAAAAAAATTGATTGGTATGTATTGGATCCCATCAACTGCATTTTAATTTTGAAATAATACAATAATGATCTTTCTGTTATCTTGCTTGCTTTCCTTATCTAGTAAGGTAATATTTGGCCTTTCTTTGACTTGAATATTTTTAATTTGTCCTCTTCTTGTTGCAAACAACTTTTGGACTTGAAACTCGAAAATAAAGCAAATCTTTCTGTATGTTTGATCCTCTCTTTATAGTGCTCTTTTATCCTACAGCATGACACAGGTATTAGCTGTGCATGGCCATTTTTTCTCTTCCAAATTATTGGGGAGTTCTGTTATATACTAATATTTTTATTCTTTACTAAATTACTGACATTAAGTAATCCATTACATACATTCCCTTTTTCTCTCTAATTCCTTTTGAAGGCAAGCTATCTGGAAGTGTGTGAAGTCTACCATTTTTTGTGGGTTCAAATTTGCAGCAATTGGGGACCTCAGCAAATCTCCTTGAGTTAGCCAGGGACAAAGGAATCTGTTCCTCTTCTTGTGCTATTTTTGGAATCATTAGTACTGTTCTCCTGAAATGGCTTTTTCCCATGCTGTTTGGGAATCCAACAGTTGAAAGTTGTTTTCCCCAATTCGAACAAATATTCCATGGTGATTCCTTAGTGAAGTTTTTTCATCATCTGAAAAAGCATTGTAGTTTTCGAGTAATGGCACTGAAAATTTTCCAGGAATGTGGATTTGCCTAATGCCTTCAAGACCTCTTTCATATTTTGTATTTCCCTATCATCTGATTAACATATTCTTCTACCTATAAGAATCAGGGTATTGATTTCTGGTCTCTTAAGCACTTGCCACTGCTGGATGGGAATTGCACTGCACAATCTTGAAGAACAATTTGGTTGCATAACCTATATTTCAGTATAATCAGAAAATGAATTGCTCTGAAATTGTCTTGCAAATTAATCTGTCTTACCATGAAACCTTTTGTGGTTTTAATTCTCAGCTGTTCTGAGCAGAGCTGCAAAATCATGCTAAAAGGCATATTACATGTTTTGCATTATGTCTTATGAACTTTCTTAACCAAGATTTAATAATTGAAATTCAATGCTCCTCAAATGCTCTGCCTCTGGTCTGGCCTTGCACCTTTTATAGATTGTGCTTGCCCTTTATAAAATGTACAGGCCATGATGAAAAAGTCATAACTAGCAGGCTTTTCTATGCATTGTACCTCATTTAAGTTTCCTGAAACAGCAGCAGCCTCTAAGTCATCAAATTCAATTGTATTCAATTCTCAGGAAAATAGGAAATAGATCATTAGAGTACAAGGCAGCCTGAAGTCCAGCTGTGATTCTTTAACCTCCTAGACACTAGATCTAATTGTGACTGATGGAAATTATACTTTTTTTATTATTATTATTTTTATATAGTGTTTCCAGCATTATTTGCAGATTCCTACTCCATGTTTTGTTAAAAGTTATACCACATGAAGGGTTGAAAAAGTGCAGAGAAACCTGCAGACCTAAGTTGTGCAAGGGGTGGCAATGTATGTAATAGAAGTGGAAGAAAGAGAAAATGAAAAGATTTGGATTTTGCCATTGACAGGGTGAAGCTGGGTTGTAAGGGCAAGGGCTGAAAAGAAAGGAAAGGGATGACACAGAAAGGATGTTCGTATTCAGTGATTTTACTCTGGAAATAGCAAAGGCATGTAGTGATAGGAAAAAGGGTAACAATTTTAAACTGAAAGAGGGCAGGTTTAGATTAGGTACTAGAAAGAAATTCTTCACTGTGAGGATGGTGAGGCACTGGAACAGGTTGTCCAGAGAAACAGTGGATGCCCCATCCCTGGAAGGGTTAAAGGCCAGGTTGGATGGAGCTCTGAGCAACCTGGTTTAGTGAAAGGTGTCCCTGCCCATGATGGGAAGGTTGGAACTAGATGATCTTTAAGGTCCCTTCCAACCCAAACCATTCTGTGATTTTATGTTTCTATGAAAGTGTAGACACAGATTTTGACATACTTTAAAATATATACCACTGCTCTCCCAAGGCAGAAAAAAAATTAATGAATTCATCCAAAGTGTTCCCAGGGGATGCAGACAGAGCAAGCAACATTAGTAACACATTCCTATAAAGCTGCCATATGTGGATTCAAACTTGCAGTATTCAGGGACCTCATCATGTCTCCTTGAATTACACAGTTATAAACAAAGGGAGCCTCGAATCTCACAGCTTTTATTAGACCCTTAATGTTGTTGAAGAACATATTTCACAACCTTTAGCTGAGTTCCTGATATTGTGGCCTTAAACTCCTAATTTTACCTCAAATAGTTTCTTCCACACAGTGCCTCTAGAGAGCAATGAGTGATATGTAATAGAAAAGTGGCTGAGATTAGCCAGGGAGGACTGGAACCAGAGCCTGGAAAAACAAAAAAAAGAAAGGAAAAATCAGAAGAATCTGGTAATCTTATTAATGAATGATGCCTGGAGGCATTCTTCCTCCAGGGATCTAAATCATAAACCTACCTCCTGATAGGCCCAACACAAGTCAGCTTGTGAACTTGTACGAATCTAGGGTAAGTTTTCATCTTGATCTTACTTTTAGAATAGAGCTCTGCAAGTTACTGTAATAAAACATGCTTTTTCAATAATGTATTTACCTGCAATTAACAGATGTATGTGATAATATGCTAATACCACAGGCAACATGATGCATCAACTCAATACCTGGTCATATGACAAGGGTGACAAATCGAAAAAGGGAGTTTCTAACTTGATATAAGGAAAGTATGTTCACCGAAGAACATGGGAATAAGTTGCTAAGAGAGGCTGTGGAATTTCTGTCCTTGGAGCATTTTCACACCCTTACCTGGACAAAGGCCTGAGCCACCTCGTCTAAATTCAATGCTGACTCTGCAGGAGGCTGCACTAGATGACCACTATCTCTTTCATTTTAAGAACCAAGGGGAATCAATGAAATAGGATCTGAGTTCAAAGCAAACAGAAGAAGGTGATTCTTCATACACAGCTCAGGTAAATTGAACATTAGGAACACTTTGCTACTGGCTGGCTGGAAGTTATGTGGGCTGTAGTCTGGACAGGTTCACAGAAACCTGCTCCTGTTGGGACACAAGACGGAATATTAGGCTAACCAGACATTTAGTTTGATCCAGTATAGATGCTTTTAGGACCTGAAATCCAAACCACAATAATGTTTATTCAATTAAGTTACTATTCATATGAAGTGCAGAAGCCTATTTTGTCATGGTGGTCCAGTGGCCAAACTGTGGTGGAGTTACAAGCTCAATTCAATGAGTTCATGCAGCTGACGGAGCACGAAAGACTTGCTTCATAGCATCAAGGCAAATTAATCTCTCCAGAGCAAGAGTTTGTCTTATCTCTTCTGCACAGACCTAAACATGCAATGACACTAAGCAACTTGTATTTGATTTACTTTGTAATTGCACGAGAACTGACCCTATTGCAAGTTCTGTGATAACTCACAGAACCACAACATTACCTCAGTGACTCAGACTTGTCAGGGCTTCTGTGGTGGGTTGATGCTGTCTGGATGCCAAGTACCCACCAAAGCCACTTTGTCTCTACCTCTCCTCAAATGGACAGAGGAGAGAAAATATGAAAGACTTGTGTGTCAAGATAAGGATGGACAGAGAGCACTCAGTAGTTACCATCATGGGCAAAACAGACTCGACTTGGGGAAATGAATTTAATTTATTACCAATCACATCAGAATAGTATATTGAAGAATAAAATCAAATCTTAAAAACACCTTCCCCCACCCTGCCTTCTTCCAACTTTATTCCTGATTCTCTACCTCCTCCCCATCAGTGGCACAGGAGGATGTGAATGGTGGTTGTGGTCAGTTTGTCACACATTGCCTCTGCTGTTCCTTCTTCTCAGTGGAAGGACTCCTCACACTCCTCCCCTGCTCCAGCTTGTGGTCCCTTCTGTGGAAGACAGTTCTCTGTGAACTTCTCCAACTAAGTCCTTCCCATGGGCTGCAGTTGTTCATGAGCTGATCTAGGTGGGTTCCTTCCACAGGGTGCAGTCCTTGAGGAAAAGACAGCTCCAGTGTGTGTGTGTCCTGGGGACATGAGTCCCGCCACCAAACCAGCTCTGGGCTCCTCCCTCCATGGGTCCAGAGGTCCCTGCCAGAACCCTGCTCCAGCACAGGCTTCCCACGGGGTCACATACTCCTTTGTTCATCCATCTGCTCTGGCATGGGCTCCTCCACAGGCTGCAGGTGGATCTCTGCATCCCCACAGACCTCCATGGGCTGCAGGGGCACAGCTGCCTCACCATGGTCTGCACCACGGGCTGCAGGGGAATCTCTGCTCTGGCACCTGGAGCATCTCCTTCCCCTCCCTCTGTACTAACCTTGGTGCCTGCAGGGCTGTTTCTCTTACATATGCTCACTCCTCTCTTGTCTGACTGCAATTCCTCCAGCACAATAACTTTTTACCCTTTTTATATACATTATCCCAGAGGTGCTGCCACTGTCACCAATGGGCTCAGCTTGGTCTTGGAGCTGGCTGGCATTGGCTCTGTTGGACATATGCGAAGCTTCCAGTAGCTTCATACAGAAGCCATCCCTGAAGCCCCCCTGCTTCCAAAACTTTGCTATGGAAACCCAACATAGTTTCAAAGAAAAGCAGCACTGAAGATTTAGTATTAGAAGTTTTAATAAAAATTCTGACTTAGGATAAAGGGCTACAAGATACTCCTCTATAATTGCAGATAAACTAAAATTCTGTGAACTATTGGAAGATGACAACACTGAGGAAGAATTTTTGATGGTGCACTGTCAGAGAAATTAGTCTACAGAAGTTAGCAATAGTTCTGCAGGTTTAAGACTCTGCTAGACTTTCATTAAACCCCTACCAAACTCTTGATTTCAAGCCCATGCTTTCTCATGTGCAATTGAAATCAGACCACTTTGCAACATTTAGCCTGCAATGTGTCTCACAATAACAACCATTCCTGGTTGTTAGAAGATGACACTAGTATAGTGTCCTCTTCTCCAATAGTGGCCAAAAAGGGAGGTCTATGCAAGGCCATCCTGATGCACCCTACCCACATGTTGTCTGAAACTGGTGTGAAACTGAGCAAAGTCCTCTCTCTTCCCAACGATGCTGTTTTTCCTGCCTCCTACTTTCTTCTGATTATTTATTTTGGTTATCTGGAAGAAAAAGGAAACATTATCATTTTCCCTGTACTGCAGCGCTCTCCCCCCTGCATGCAGGGGTTCTTCCTTTCCTCCACAGCCATGTCCTCAGGTGGTCTCTGTTTTATTTTACTAACCTGTCCCCAATCAGGCACATCTACTCTTTCCTACCTCTCTTTGCAGCCTGTCTTTTCCCTGCTTAACATCTTCCTTCTACCCCAAGATAGCTAACATTCCACTTCCTGGCTTTTTGATCCTTCTCTCTCCCCAGTATCAGAGCAGCAAGAACCCCCCAGAACCATGCTTGGCTCCAGTACTGCTACCCTCAATGAAAGAAGCAGGTGGAGATTTCCACACCCTGAATCCCTTGGCTTTGTCAATCCCCCTCTCCTGCTGCAACTACCACTATGGCCAAGCCAAGGCACCAGCTAGGACTCCTCACCTGGCACCCATCCTGGCTCTGCTGGCTGGCACAGAGGACCAGAGTAAGAAGCCTAAGGGCTCTGCTGTGCGGCAGAGCATCCCTTGCCTGTCCCATCCACTCTGTCCCTAAACCACACTCTGGGTGACCCCAGAGCTTTGCCAGGAGCACTTAACTCCATCCTTGGCTGTAGCATCCCCGTGCAGCAGCACCTATACGGATCTTGGTGTCACAGGTCTGAGATGGGAGCCAGCAGAGCCTCACTGAAATGCACTGAGCGGGCTCTCTCATGTTACCACTCCCGCCTTTTCTAGGTCATTGATGAACACAGGGGCTGGCACAGGTCCCTCGCGATACCGGTGACAGCTCTGCTTTGTCGCCTGGCTCTTCCTGCCTCTCTGCGATGTGTTTTAACCTTGCTGCCACCGTCCCCTGTGTGCCCAAGGTTCAAAGTCCCTGCGGCCTGTCTGCCTCTCCTCACCTGCCACCGCTGCGAGCGCGTACCCCGGGGCACGGCGGCATCCAGGTGCGCTCACACCTGCACATCCCACCCCCCTCCCCCGGGCGTTCCGGACGCGGCTCCCACACCGGAGCACGAGACTCTCCCGAGCGAGGAGCGTCTCCGGGGATGTGCGCCCTCCCCCGGGGCCGCTCCTGACCCCGAGCACCCTCTCGCTGCCGGGCGGTGCCCGCGGGGGTGACCGCGGGGGGCCGCTGCGCCTCGCCGGCCGCGCCGGGGACGGGGCCACCGGCGCACGCGGGTCCGGGGGGCGGGCGCGGGGCAGCGGCGGACAAAGCCGGCCGGCGCCTCCGC